CTGTAGTCAGGAGCCTCGCGGAGGAATCTGGGTCCTAAACTCTGTCATCTTCAGGTTCTAAAGTCAAACGATCACTGCAGCATCACTGAGAGTTACAAACTGTCTAAATTCTTTCATCTGTAATAAAATGATCAGCGTTGCTGCTTTACCAGGTGTAACTATGAAGTTTAACATCCATCCATGAAAACAGGATTTATTAAATATAACAGAGTTAGAAGTTAGCAGGAAGTTAGCAGGACGTTAGCAGGACGTTAGCAGGACGTTAGCAGGACGTTAGCAGGACGTTAGCAGGAAGTTAGCAGGACGTTAGCAGGACGTTAGCAGGACGTTAGCTCGCTAGCTGCCACCTAAACATGCTGCATTCTCTGTGCTGTTTAATTATTCATTTCAATAAAGAGCTTTCATTTCTTAGCCTGTTCATCCCAAGCAGACACAGTGGAGGACCATTGGCACAATGTAGCATATCACATCAGGAGAGTTTCCATTTGTTTCCTCATTTAAAAAGAACAAGAACACTTCCAGATGTTGGACAGATGACAAAGTCCTTGTAAGAAAGTCGTCAGTGTCCAGTCGCTGTAAACTGTAATGGAGCTGAAGGCTTACTCTGAGTGTGTTTTGATGATTCCTTTCTTTCCTCTTGCATTCCTTGGATAGAAGAGTAACTCAGGTGAGGAGCTGTGTTCTCTGAAGTCAAATAATAAAACCAGATGTGTTCGGAGCAGCGGGTGAACGTGCCTTCTTTCTCTCTGATTTCCTCAGGTTGGCAATGAAGCCGTATTGTCCACTACTGTGTAACGGCTCGTGCACTGAGACCTATCTGCAGGGCGACTTCTCCTCTTCAGCGCAGTTCTTTGTGTGTGTTGGTGTGTTTGCCTTCCTTTACTGCACCGCCACACTCGTAGTCTACCTGGGCTACCGGAGCGTCTACCTGCAGACCAGCCGTGGTCCCGTCATAGTGAGTACACATGTTGTAGAGCAGTGAGTCTGTGGAAAGTTTGCAGCAGAGCACTGATGGTAGCAAGACGACCAGTGTTACTGGCTTCATCTGGGAGGGGGTTTAATGTGGTGGCTGATGGGTGTAAGCATCAGAGGAAGCTCCTTTATGCTGCTTAAGTAAAAACGGTCACATCCTCTAATCTGCAAATGTAACTCCACATCAGTGTGTCATTGAAAACTGTACATGCATACATTGGTGAGCGTTTGTGTTTGATAGGACCTGCTGCTGACCGCTGCCTTTGCCTTCCTCTGGCTCGTGTCCTCCTCGGCCTGGGGCAAAGGCCTGACCGACGTTAAATACGCCACTGACCCCAACCACCTGGTGCTGCTGTGTGGCAGCTGTAAAGCAGGAGAGTTTCCTTCCATGGGCAGGCTCAACGCCTCTGTGGTAAGTTTATAAAGGCTCACATCGATAATATCAGAGGCTACGTTTACGGCAAACATGTAAAAAGCAGATGAAATCAGCATGTTCTTGTAAGATATGAAGCAAAAATATGTCTGTTTTTGTACGTGCTGATGTCTAACTAATGCTGATGTGGAAACATCTGTGCAACAAGCTGTTTGTTAAATAACTCGTTGCTGGGGCAGCAGGATGCACCGTGTACTGAATAACTGTAAGTCCTGAACTCGTTCTCAACAGTCACCAATGTAACTCTCAACATAGCTCGTATTTGTCTACAAATATGCAGGTGCTGTATTCATGTGAAGACTGGTCTTTGTGAGGGGACTGATGCTAGTTTGTGTTATTGTTGTATAGTTTTAGAAGAAAATAGTACTGAACAAGACAAGCTTTGGATGTGAGTCTTACAGCACCACAGATCTGTGGAACAACAAACTCTCAGTTTTTGATTGTGTAAGGTGCTGTGAGTAGGAGGCCATTCAGACCTTTACATGGTTTGTTACAGCCTCGTGGACCAGGTGCAGTCACTGATGCTTTTTATAATTCATGTAACGTTTACACAGGAAGAATGAACAGACAGAAAACACAACGAAGCAACAAACTCTGGGCAGGCAGGTGTTACACAAAGACCAGGGAATGAAACCGACTGTGCACGTGGACTGTGCACGTGGACTGTGCACGCGTAGACTGTGCACGTGGACTGTGGACTGTGCACAGTGCACGTGGACTGTGCACGTGCACTGTGCATGATGCAGTCCTGAAACAGGCCAGGTTACAGTTTAGCTGGATGTTCCTAACAAAGTGTTTGAAAAAGCTCTCAAACGTGCAAACAGCAGCACATTTATCACAGAGACTTCACCAAAGGCTTCACTGAGCTTTGTCTCAGAGTGATGGAGTCTGTGCAGAGCCTCAAACTGCATGAGCCTGTACCTGCAGAGGCTCAGCACTGGCTCAGGCCCTGTGGCAGGGCTGCATTAACCAGCACAGTCTCCCAGTCAAACTGGGAGATCAGATGTTTAGATTTTGGTTGCTTCAAAAAGTAGAATAGAAATAGAAACTATGATTTTTAGGTTCAGCGTTAAGATCAGGGATGCACCCCCACATAAAATGTCTAACGACAGCTCAGAGGAGCCAGCTTTCTTAGAGTCTCAGGGTGGGGTGCTCGAAGGTGCTCCACCCGGGGACTCTGTCGTCCTACTGGCAGACTTCAACACTCATGTGGGCAACGACAGTGAGACCTTTAGGGTGTGACTGGGGGGAGCGGCCAGCCTGACCTGAAGCAGAGCGGCGTTCTGTTACTGGACTTGTGTGCACACCGCAGTTTGTCCATAACAAACACCATGTTTGAGCGTAAGGCGGTCCTTAAGTGCTCACGGCTCCAGGACACCCAGATTCATACGCTCTGGACACTGGAGTGCAGAGAGGGGCGGAGCTGCCAGCTGATGACCACCTGCTGATGAGTTAGATCAGGTGGGGGGGCAGGACGCCGCACAGAGCCGGCGTATAGTGAGGGCGTGTCTTTGTGGGTCGAATGGGTTGTACTTATTTACCTGCTGTAACTGGTTCACACTGAGTTCATTAATATAATCAAATAAAGTCATTTGATTATATTAATGCAGCACAATGTTTAGTTAGCTTTGCACAAACACAGAAATATCCTCAGAACGTAAATAATGCAGTACTTGAACTTTTACCACAGAGCTCCTGTAGGTGTGTGGTTGCTCCAGTATCTTTGTACATGCCAAGAGTATTCATCTCTTTCCAGATCATTGCATGAAGGTGTTGCACCTTCAACCGTGTTGTATTAAACGTGTCCTGATTCCTGCAGCATGCAGTCTTCAAACAGGTGAGGAGATGGCTCGCTCTCAGCAGCTGGGTGTATGATACGATGCCACTGTGCAACAACAGCTGTGAATACTCCCTGTTAGTGGTATTATAATAACGTGGACGTGATTGGGAACCAGTCAGCTTAGCCACAAAGTGGTAGGTCAGGTAAGATCTCAGTGCAGGGTCAGCAGATGCCACCGAGCTTCATGTGGCCTGCAGACTGGCTGGAGATCAGTGTATAGAGAGCTCAATGGGTTTGGCTGTCATGGCTGAGCAGCTGCATCCTAGTCTTACATGCAAATGCAATGCAAAGTGTTGGTGCAGTGGTGTAAAGCATGTCAGACTTTAGAGCAGTGGAGACGTGTTCTCTGGAGCTACAAGTCACATTTGTCCATCTGGCAGTCCAACGGAGGAGCCTGGGTTTGGTGGCAAGTGTTTGGTAGATGTGTGAAGAATAATGCTTCAGCATCCCCAGACATTTTGGACAACTCCATGTTCCCAACACTGGGAAAGGTTGGGTTATCATCCTGTTCCAACCTAGTGCACAAAGCAAGGTGTGTAAAGGTGAGCGAGTTTACTGTGAAAGAGCCTGACCTCAGTGCTGATGACATCAGTGTCTGACCTCAGTGCTGATGACATCAGTGTCTGACCTCAGTGCTGATGACATCAGTGTCTGACCTCACAAGTGCACTTCTGGAAGAATTGTCCAAATTTCCCATAAACATGTTTGTGAACCTCGTGCACAGCCTTCCCAGCAGAGCTGCAGATGGTGCAGATACCATGTTCAACCTGTGGATCAAAGATGCACGTGAAAGCAGACCAGCAAATGTTTTTGCCACTTATATAGTGAAGTGTTGGAGGCTCTGCTGTCACCAGCTCACTGACAGCAGGCCTGTCAAACAAAGGTACAATCCCCTATGTCAGTTACTATTGGCCGTCAGCATGTGGGAGCTGAGAATCCATGCAGGCAGGGGCGGGACTTTGTTTTGATGGGCACACTGTGCAGCCAATCAGCATGTATGTGCATGTAGCACAGAGCCATGGCTCGGTGTCTGAACGTGCTGTTATATTTCTGAACCACAAACAAGCTGTTTCATGTGTTCTGCAGCTTGTTTACTGATGAAGTCTCTTATTCATGCTCCACAAAGTCACGACACTGAAACGTTGCTGAGTTTTCCTTTGCACTATAGAAACGAACGTTTTCCTCACAGTTTCATCTGCACACTGACAAAGTGTGCTGTGTGTGGCCCACTGTGTAAAATGACCTGTTGGGGTCTGTTGTGCTTCACACTGACCGCCTTCACCAACAGGATGCTCGTCAGGGACATCTGACTGATGCAGGTGGATGACAGAAATGTACAGCAGGCTTGTGTTACAGACTGTGCAGAGTAGAGTCACTGTGTCAGTGTGACACCTTGTTTTGATCTGCTCTATTCTGTCCTGTAGTTCTTCAGACAAGCCTGTGAATGTAAAATGCTTTCGGTCATACGACAGTGTAACGGTCTACACGTTCAGCTAACAAGGGAAAGATTCCCAGTGCCATCCTGGGGAGAGGTGCATCCAGGATGGATGTCCAGACACGCAGAGCTACGATCCCTGTGAAGAAGGCTGCCACCAAAGCTAGCTTTATTCTCAGCACACCTAACGTCTATAATATAACTGTACTGATAGCACAGGTCTGAAAACCAAGCTACTGGTCTCTCATAGACTTGTACTGAAACACTGCATGTGGTCAGGTTTACTAAAATATGGCGTGCAGCTGAAAAGCCCGTGTGTCTGCAGAGCTGTGTGTCTGAGGACAAATACTGCCCTCTGTGTTCAGAGGCAGACAGGTTGTTGCAGTAGTGGAGTTAACTGTAAAACATATTCTTAAAATAACATTTTTCTCTTTTTCAATAAGTAAACAGGCAGTGATTGTAATTTCTAGTATGTACATTTGTTTTCATTTCTCTTTGAATGATGCCAGTCAAAAGTTTTCCTTTATTTTAATGACTGTTTCCATTGTAGCTTCTCACTGAAGGCATCAAAACACGTTCATATGTTACATACATATACATATATGTTACGTTTTATATGTTTCTTCCTCACAGCCGCCTCTGCTTTCACTCCTGCTTTGCTCGCTCTCGGCTCTCTCTCCATGAGCTTCACGAGGTCGTCACCTGAGATGGTTTCCAACAGTCTGGAAGGAGTTCAGAGATGCTGAGCACCTGCTGGATCCATCTCATCCCAAACCGTCTCAGTGGGTGGAGGCCGGGCCTCCATCACTCTGCTTCTTGGTCCAACAGCCCTCACACAGCCTGCACGTGTGTTTGGGCTCATTGTGCTGTGCTGGCATGTGGCTGCAGCGCTGTGGTAGCCATGCTGGCTCAGTCTGCTTCAGCTTGGAATAAATCCCCAACAGCGTCACCAGCAACACCCCCACACCTCGTCCTCCATGCTCCACAGTGGGAAGTAGGGCTGTGCGATACGACCAAAACCTCATATCCCGATATAAGACCTCTATCATCTGATAACGATATAAATCACAAACATGTAACATTTTCTGTAAAGTCTGTGAATCTCAGCAGCTCGACTTGTGTGAAGTGTTTCCAGCTGTGCGTCATGTAGCTGAGTCGAGTGTTTTAACCGACGCATGAAACATTTTTAGACATAAGTTGTAACGGCGCCGTTTTCTTTGTGTATTTATTACACGGCGTGCTGCGGGGAAAAGCCTGTTCTAACATTTGAGTCTAAGCTTTATTTTTTAGCACCTGACGTCTTTTTTACTTCTCATCCGTAAATAATCTGCTCTTTCACGTGATTCAGTTTATTTTGAAAAGTCTCAACAGGATCTTGAGCTTTATTGTGAAAGGTTTATGTGGAACATAAACAAGCGGACATGTTGTTGCTAACGACAACGCGTAAAAACAGGCGCTTGTCGTCCGTAGTGGTTATATTAAATCTAAGAGAAAGAGAACTTTAATAAAGCCACTGCAGTGACATCAGAACATGAAAACAGCTGTAAACACTTTATTTTGCGACACCACGAAACAAACGATAGACGTCGTTCTATCCAACAGCCCTCGTGGGAACCATGCATGTAGAGACCATCGTGCACCTTTTCTGCACAAAGACACGGCAGCTGGAACCAAAGATCTCAGCTGTGGACCCATCAGACCAAAGCACAGATGGTCTGATGTCAATCCTCGTGTTTCTTGGGCCAATCAAATCTCTGCTCTCTGCTTTTCCTCAGTCCTGGTCTCTCAGCAGCTTTGACCGTAAAGGCCTGATTCACACAGTCTGAACATGTACAGATGTGTCTGCTGCTGGAGCTGTGCAGCATCTGTCTGGGCTCTGATCTGAGCTGCTGTTAACGATTCCTGAGGCTGGTGACTCGGATGAATGTGTCCTCAGCAGCAGAGGGACTCTGGGTCTTCCTGTCCTGGGACGTCCTCGTGTGGGACAGCTTCATCCTGGTGCTTCATGGTTTCTGCGACTGCACTCGGGGACACAAAGTCTGAGCAGTTTCACAGCCTGACTGACCTTCAGTTCTTACAGTAATGATGCTGTTTGTCTTTACTCAGCTGATTAGTTGTTGCCATAATATCAACTCTAACAGCTGTCAAACAGGCTGTCAGCTGTGCACCAACCTGACTGCTGCACAACACAACTGATGGTCCCAACTCCATTAAGAAGCCCTGACAGGCTCAGCTGTGAAACCATGTCAGGTGACGACATCATGAAGCCCACTGAGCAGGCCGAGGGTTTGCAAAAAGCTTTCTTGCTTCATTTCTTTGATGTCTTCAGTTTGTATCTACAGTGTTCAAAGTGAGAGCATGAAAACTTCAGAGAGCAGTGAGACAGTAAACTGACACATGTACAAGAGAAAAGCTTTGAGCGGCAGATACAAGACTGAAATACTTCATCTGTCACTAACAGCTCCAGAATCACTGTGTCGAGTAAAGAGATCATCATCCCAGAAACATGCAGACAACAACAGCACAAAGGAAGTGCTCGCTGGTTTTAACCTGCACGCAGTGTTTGTTTGTTTGCTTTTAAACAAAGTTGTGTTTACATGACATCAAATATGTTTAAGGGAGAAATGTTCTTAAAGTGAAAAATAAGTTACCATGGAAACCAAATGTCCTCTGCTCCGTGTCAGGCTCTCGTCCTTTGTGTGTCACACAGTGTTACACAAACATGACCCCACATGTAAGAAGCAGTTTCCATTTACTGCACTGAGACATCAGCAACATGCTGTCAGTGCAGTTCCACAGCTGGGCCAGCAGGCGGTGTCACATGTGTTTCATAAACACTTTATTTTGTATTTAAAATGTTAAATAAACTGAACGTGTGAGGACACAACAAGATGGGGGCGGGGCCTTAGGAGGACAGGTTTGACCACACGGTGTCTGGATGACTTAGTTAGGTCTTGTGTTTCTGTCAGTGTGCGACCCTCAGCCTCATCACTGCAGCTGCTCAGTTCACCTGCATCCACGCGCTGTCGTGTTGGGGCGACTGCAGCCCCGGGTAGAGCGAGTTCTCCTCGCCGCTCCAGCCTGCGAGCCTCCCCTCCTGTTGCTCTGCGATGCTTCCTCGTGGCTGCAGTGTTGATGTGAGAAACATGTGCTGGTGTGAACGATGAATGTGTGTTCAGCTAGAAACGTGCTG